TCTTTCCCTCCGTCTTGTGAAGACACAGAGAGAAGGCTGCCATCTGCAAGCTACCCTCCTTGGAACCAACCATCAGGCACCCTGCCCACAGCTCGCCGGCTCCAGAACTGAGTACATCTCTGCTGTCAGTCACCCAGTGCAGTCTTTTAGGGCAGCCCACGCCGGCTACTGCACCAAACACCCTGCAATGTCCACCACAAAGATGGGTGTCAGCTCACTGTAGCAACTCTGCCTTACACAAAGGAAAAACACCTCTGCACTGCTCTAGGAAACCTACAACAGTAAGACAATAGCAGCAGCAGCAGCAAATTCTAACACGGGTTAGCATCCATTAAGCTTTTACTAAGTGCCGAACCCTTTCACCTAAGTGACTGTGGCCCCGCAGAACAACTCTGCACAGGGTCCTCTCAGGCCAAATAGTCCGTACGTGGGACAAGGCAATGTCCTCCCCAAGTCTGCCTCCTCGGGACCAATGGCAGCCCCGTCCCTGCTGCCTCTGCACGCTGAGCTCTAGGAGAGGCGAAGCCGCTCTGCGCTGATCCCAGGGAGAGCTGAGTGGGTCCAGGGCAGGCTGCCTTCTCAGCTCTATGCAATGTGGCCTTGCAGCTCAAAATTAAGCTTTTTCAGTGGGAGGAGCACATTTCTTTCTTGACTTATATAGGTGGATGATTGCCCTTTCCTTCTGCATGACTACCCTGTGCCCATAAGATGGATATGGGGCCACCTCATGCTTAAAAGGATCCCCTATCCATGGAGCCCTGGCAGGACCAACATGACACCCCAGGAAAGGCGGGAACAGCAGGCAGCTGACGTGACTGGGTGGAAGCCTGTGGGGGGAGGGCTCTTTCACTGGCTAGAATCAAGACACCGCCCTGCAGGATGGAGCCAGGAGGCTGCTGCCTGTTATGTACACTATAAAGCTCCTGACACAGTCCCTGGAGAGGCTTCACAAAACCTACATAAACCACCCTGTGTATTTACATTTGCCTGGGAAGAGGGCCCGCAGATCTGAATAGACTCTCAAAAGACCCTGAGACTCAAGAGTCAAGAATCACAAATCCCAGCGAGAGAGCCTGTATTCCTCACCTGTGATCTAGGGCTCACCAGGACCCAAGACAAAACGGGGTTAGGAACAAAGGCCTAGCCATGCAGGTGTGTACCTTCTGCGTGTATCTCCCATAACTGTGCAGAAGCGGGTGATTGGTCAGAATCCAGAATCCCAGAAATCACTATCAGAAGATGCAAACACACACACCTCCTCCTACCTATTACTATGAAACAACTGCTATTCATTTTTTTCTTGCACATACACAGTTACTGTCTTCCTTCAAAGGGTACACCAATGACACAGGTAGACAGATTATCTCAGGGAAAGATGTACAGAGGATCCTTTCCCCTCCCCCCACCCAAACCCCAATTAACTCACATACCAACACATACACACATTCATTCATTCGTTCGTTCGTTCTCTCTCTTGCATGATGCACGCACAAATAATCAAGATTGTCCAAATTTACTTTCCCGATAATTTAAATCATAATTCTTCAATATAAAGTTATTTATTGCAGCAATCTTTAATACTATTAAACATTTCAAACAAACTTTTTCCTATTGAAATTTGTCTTGGTTTTTAAACATTGCAAAAATAATAAGAAACTGTTTAAAATTTTACCTTCTAACTGCAACAGACTTGGAGGTACAGTTGCTTGTTATCACAGGTATTAGCCTAGGGATGTGTGTGTGCTGAGAAGAACAAAAAAACGAACACTTGAAAATATAAAAACAAAACTAGGACAACCACTTCCTTACTAACCTACCGAAAGTACATATATATTCAGATTACAATTTCACTGATTTAAAAAGGACAAAAGGGTATCATTGAGATTGCCAAAGGCCATAACAACATTTACAGAGCTAAAACCGACATGAGATGTAAATGTCTAAAATTAAAACAACTAGTTGAAATAAAATCTAAATTGTCTGAGCAACAGAGGTCCGATTGAGTTCAAAAGAGGTCAGCAGACCAATTTATTTTGATATTGTTTTAATATGGCAATGCCCAAAAACGGCTTTCGGTTTAATATTAAGCAGGCAGTGCAAATAGTAAGCACTAAAAGTAATACAAAGTAAGTAACCACAATAATCAGAATATTCTGGGTAGACTTTGGTTAACCTCAAGCCTCAGCGGCAAGGGCTGCCTCTGGGAAAAGGGACTTGAGAGTGGGGAGCGGTGATATGGAGAACTTTCATTTTAAGCTGTTGTGAACAACTGAATTTTACTGAAAACTTGTATATAAATTACTTAAATAATTACTTAAATGTAAATGAACGTTTAGAAAGCTGAACTAAAGAGAATATTTTGTTTCTCTGCTATCTACTATTAAGTAAATAACAATTACAGGTGAGTAACAAAACCACAAATACCTGGAGTGGAGCAACCAGGCATTAGGAAGGAAGGAAAGGGAGCGTAATGTGGAGATGTGAATAACAGTAGAAACTCAGAAGCAGATGGGGATGCTCCAATATTTACAAGCAATGATGAGTCCACGATCAACACCTCAGTGACTATACACCGCATCCATAATTCACGTGATGGAATGTGAAAGGCTCATGTGCTATAATTAAGTGGGGCAAAAGGCCAATACTTACCCGAATGATTAACCTAACAGCTACAACACCAGAAGTGGCCATAATTTTGGCACTGTTTGGAATTAAATTAAAGATAGTTGGCATAATGGCTTCAGCTCCATGGTCAAACTTATTCCCCAGAACTGATGACAGATGCCTAAAATAAGAAATGAATACTGGACTGTAGTTCTATTTCTTGCAAACAGAGAAGCATATAAAACTCTTAACATTTTAGAACCTTCATTTAAAGTTATTTAGAAATTAAGGACAAGGGTTTCAAATCTTTCCAATGTACATGTAGAGGACTTGGCAAATAGCCAGTAGCCCATTGCTCCTTTTAAAAAAAAGTAAATCATTTCCAACAAATTAGAATTCAAATAGCGAAAGACAAATTTATCATACACTAATAAAACATAAACAGGGAAAAGCTGCCTCACTCTTTCTCTTTCACCCTTTTTATTTTCAACATAAAATATTCATGCTTCAACATCTGACTGCAGCCAAAGCTGTTAAACAGCCGCAATGCCATCTGATGTCACTGCTCCTCTGATATTCTGACATACTTCCTAACACAGAAGCTGCAGCTCCAAACATTGGTCCAGATTCAGTTTAAGTAGGATAAACATTTACTAGACTACATTGCATGTCTTTAATTTTATAGCTAGAGTACTCTTCTAGAAACAATAAAAAATTCTGATAAGCATGCTATCTCGTGTCAGCAGAATCAATGAAAAAGCTGAGAAACAAGTTTATAAATTTCATTTTTCAGTATTATTAGTAACAACTGCTTCAGAGCTAAGTCACGGAATAAAGTTTAAAATCTGTCATACTTTACATAATTGGGTGAGAAGTATTGTAAAAGTATTAGCAGCAGTGTAACTGGAATGGGTCTTGGACACTAGACGGGAGTAACATTAGCAAGACCCATCGGACAGAGCCATGAACTGCCCAAAGTCTGTGCCTAGGATGTTATGACGTGAGAATCTGGAGCTTTGCAGTCCTTACCCCAACGTGATACAAGCCTCCCGCACTACCTGAGACCGCAGATCCTTAGCAGATAGTTTAAAGGCTCCATCCAAAAGTCTCAAATGTTGAAAGAAGTTATCATATTCAGCAGCACCAGCCAAAAGTAAAGATCTAATCTTTTTTAGCTAATGGGATAGAGAAAATTAGGAGATATACAAAACTGTTCCTAAAACAGAACATACGGGATAACAGAAGCCAACAAATATGAGAGATCAATGTCAATCTTAAATGATATAGAAATAGTTTTCCAAAAAGAACTAAGCCAATTAAATGTTAGCTAATATATGGAACAAATCTACATAGTAAAAATAAGAACAATTTTTAAAATGTAGTATCTATGATAAATACAATTCTACAAAATGCATTTTAAATTGAAAACACCTTAGTGTATACATTCTACCCTAATGACAAAATCACCAGAGCCTGCATTTTAGCTTGTAAAAGGCTCTTCCTTCCTAAGCTTACCTTCCCCCACACCCACTCCAACTGCCATTTATTTAATAAATCAAAGGAAGTAGCAATCCTACAGTCTCTTTTAGTATCCTCCATTGTATCATTACTAAAAGCTGGTCTGAATTTGAAAGGGAATACAATAGCTTTCTTACCACCCCTCTTTTTGCCAGCCAACCACTGTAAAAACAGCTTTCTCAGATCAGATACACCGTCCCTTTAACGTTCAGCTACTTGCTTTCATTAATCTACTTTTAAAAACAGACAGACAGGACTTTCTAGCATGCAATGTGGAGGAAGGACGAGAGGATCACACTAAATGCCACTGAAAAGCAGCTTCGCTGTCTTTACCAGGTGAAAGTGGAAGGCATCACCAGACATTCCACAATTAGGTCTTTGTTAAAAATATAGGATCTGCATAAAGGTGTAAGTTTGCATGCTTTAAAAATAGATGTGAGGTACTCTACCAAAAGGTAAAATGTTAATGCAGTCATTTTTATTTAAAATATTTACTCCTTAAAATTCATTAGAGCTGTATCCCAATTTCAAAATAAAGAGTTTAGAAGATATAAATAACTCTAGTGAAAATGTAATCACATAAAATCACTGGCTTACAGCATTTACTCTTTGCTCCCAATCATGCTTGTCATCAGATAATATTTCCCTAATCTTGTTTATGGATTCCTCGAGGTCTCGACTGGAATAAATCTGTAAGCAAAATTAATTTACAATAAGCATAAGATAATGTACAGAATAAAAAAGATTATTTCTTAATTACATGAAGTAAAGAGCATTTAGTAAAATAAATCATTTCATTTTCCAGAAGAGCCTATAAGATAACATCTGGACAGATTTGTCCTAGAGTGAGCTTCATCCCTCTTGTGAGCATGTACCCACTAGATCTGGTGCCCATATATGGGTAACCCAGCCTCAAATACACCTTTATGGTAAACTTAACAGATGGCTCGCCATTTAAAAAGAACACGACCTGCTGGGAACGGTCAGTGGTGCACAAGTCCTTTAGGATTCCCAGTAGCACATATAGCAGGGCATTACACAATCCGTTTCACATCCATCACTTTCAAATCTACTTTTTCATTTACTCCCACATCTGATAAGACAGGTAGGAGAATCATCAACCAGGAATGAGACATGCTGGGAAGATCAAGGACTTAAAGATGAAACTTAGCCTAAGATGCCTGTTATCTTATTTACACACATATGGAAACCAAACAGTAGTTAACAAGCAATTCATCTATATATATAAAAGCCTAAACGACCAAGGACAGAACAGTCGGTGGATCAGCCGCTATGATGTGCGCTGACCACCAGGAGGCAGACGCTCAACACAGGACTGCCCGCTGTTGGTCAGTGCCTTCTCACAGCAGGAGCACCACTCAGCTGACCGATGGGTGCCAGATGCCAGGCTCATGGCTGACAAGCGCAGCTGCAGCGGCACAAACTTCTCCTGCCTCCACAGCTGTGCTACCCGAGCAGCAGTGGCGCAGCGGGGCAAGGATGAGTGGGAGTGGTGTGGCGTGGCGCCCGCCCAGGCTCGGGCTCCTCCCCGGCTGTCTGCTGCTTTGCACACTACTACATCCCTCGGGGGATGTCGGACTGCCGGCTTCTGCCCTATTCGGCCTGGCCTGGCCTGCGGGGGTTGGGCCAAAACCGGCAGTCCAATATCCTCCAAAGTGTCCCGTATTGCGAGAAGGCACAGGCCAGGCTGAGGGGCCCCGCCAGTGCACAAATCCATGCACTGGGCCTCTAGTATAGACATAAAATGCTATAGGAATCCAGAGCATTGGATAGCCAATGTAGGCTAAGAAAAGTATTGCTACCTCCGGTCATTGATAAAAAAAACACTGTGACATTCAAAGCAGATAAAATGTATGACTTTACCCCAACTTTCATCAATACCTTTGCTTCATCTGTTAGGTACTTAAGTGAAGCATCAAGATGGCATAAATAAACTTTTATCAAACCATTCTTCATAGCTTCTCAGACACCAAAACCCTTCAAATTTACAAATTTTTCTAAGAAAAATCCCTAAAGAAGCATGCTTCTTTGTTCCTTTGTATAATCTAATCATTCCCTTCCCCCCTCTTTTATGTGCCCTGACCCACCAACCTGCTACTAGAGGAAGCAACTTACTTCTGGTTCTTACTGTAAGAACATCCTGGGCCTTGACTTTTGCTCATTTCAGCTATAAAAGGTCCAACACTTTCTAGTCTGCAACCTCAGATCTCCTGTAGTCTTGATACTTAAAATTACTTACCGAGTAAGGAATTTCCCATACCACATATTTGAAAAGTGAAATTTGAAGAGTAAGCCTCTCCTTGCTTTTAATCAAACTCAAACATCCTCACTCACCTGCACTGCAGGTACGTCGTCAAAGGCTTTAATAAAATCCTCTTCATCAACAGCGCCAGCTCCTTCTTTTGGAGCTATAAAAAATTTATTTTAAAATATAAATTAAGTGCATTGGAAGAATCTGAATACAATAAACATTATAGTTTGGTAGATTTGTTATCATTTCTTTAAAGCTTAATAAAAATATCAAGTGTTGTGATTCCACAATATTTTACTGATTTTTTAAAAAATATGTTTTTATTGATTTTAGAGGGGAAGGAAGAGGGAGAGATAGAAACATCAATAATGAGAATCTTTGATCGGCTGCCTCCTACACACACTCTCTTGGGGATCGAGCCTGCAACCTCGCATGTGCCCTGATTGGGAATCAAACTGTGACCTCCTGGTTCATGGGTCAATACACAACCAATTAAAATAAATTCTAACGCATTTAACAGTTTCATTTCAACTTTGCATTAGCCTTAAAACATTTTCATTTCCTTTGAACTCATGATAATTGTCAATTTTTCATTCATACATCAGTAGTAAGTTCCCCTATAAAATTGTTGTAAGATGCTTTGTATACTTAAAAGTTAATTGCTGTCATTTAGGAGCACGTTTTTTCTTTTTGCTATTATGAACGCCACACATAAAATCTTATGACATCTTACAGTTGCTGTTTTTCATACTAAAGATTTCAGAACTGGTGTCTGCAGTCATCCTTGTAACCCTCATTGATTCACATTGGTCCCTGTGAGTGCTTCTCTAGAGCTTCTTACCAGACATCTCTCTGGTGATTGGTGTCCTGCTGGAATCCGCACAGAAAAGGGCTTTATGGACAACTCCTGGCAGCAGTACATGCATGCCAACCCCCGATGAACACTCACTCACACTGCATTTACAGGCCAACTATGGACAGGTGACAGTCACGCACTGAGCTGGGGTGCTCTGTGCCTGTTCTAGCACTAGGACTGGATCCCACTGAGCAGACAGGTCCTGAGTGCCTCCTCTGCGTAAGGCACTGCCCCACGTACCCACGAAGGGAAGAGGACTCCAAGACCTAAGGAATCTGACAAGAAGGAGCCAACAAGGAACTTCATGGCCATGATGCTAGGCAAAATGGGGAAGAGATGAGGTCAGGGCCGAAGGGGAGACAGGGCTGGTGTCTCTGCTAGTTTACACAGCTGAGACTTTTGGAAGGAACGTCTGGGTGAAGAGTGGGAAGGAAATGAAGTGGTCTGATCATGCAGAACTTTCTGAAACCTTATTTGTAGAATTGACACCACTCAAGAATAGATCAAGAAAAAGGAGTCGAAGGCTGTATGGCCATAAGAGGAGTGAAGTACTGATACATGCTACAACGCAGATGACCCTCAAAAACATGCTCAGTGAAAGAAGCCAGAGCAGAGATCTCATTTCTCCAAAAAGCCAGCATAGGTAAAGTCTCGGGAACAAAATGCAGACTGTGGTGGCCAGGGGCTGGGAGGAAGGGGAGCAATGGGTAAAGAGTGTGGGGCTTTCTTTTGGGGTGAGGAAACTGTGTTGGAACTAGAAGTGGTAGGTGCACAATACTGTGAATGTACTAACTGCCAATGAATTGTGACCTTTAAAATGGTTAATTTTATGCTATGTGAATTTAAGCTCAGTAACAAAAATAAAAATTTTTAAATGCACTCCCCTAAAAAAGTTAGAGGTTCACGCTCTCCAAGCAGACAGGGCTGCTGGCAGTGGCCCTGCAGTGCACGCGCAGCTCCGGTCCAGACTCCGGCACTCCAGGGCCAGTTCGGAGAGCAGCCAAGACAGGTAGGACGCGGCAGGCGGGTGCTAACCCGGCTCCAGCTTTAACTCAGCACATCAGCAAGCTCAAAAGCCCAATGCTAACAGGAGCACCGTCTAAAACCAGTGGCCACATAATATTTTAGAAGTAAAAAGTAGGAAATTTGCATATAAATGCACAATGTGACATCAAAATGAAAGTAGACAATAAGGACTCAAACTGTCCAAATTCGGGGGTGGGAGGAGGGATTTAGGGAGGAAATCTTTGTAAATCAATTTTCAAGCCTCAAGGAACTAATCCCTCCTATTTACTTAATTTAATATCTATACTAATCTCACAAGGAATAATGCTACCTGGAGAAACAAAATACATTTTAAAGACAGAAGATACAATCTGACTTCTGGATAGTCTGTCTTGATAAATAAAAACTGGCTAAAAAGGCCCCATTTCAGACACCGCTAGATCCCAACAATCAACAAATGCTCTTCCTCTATCTCTTAGCTCCGCTTCCCTGGGTGTGGGCTTCATGCTCCTACAGCCGCGGTTCTCAACCTGTGGGTCGCGACCCCTTTCACAAGGATCGCCTAAGACCACCGGAAAACACATATATATGTTCAATTTGTAACAATGAAAATACATCCTGCATATCAGATATTTACATTACGATTCATAACAGTAGCAAGATTATAATTATGAAGTAGCAACGAAAATAATTTTATGGTTGGGGGTCACCACAACATGAGGAACTATATTAAAGGGTCGCGGTATTAGGAAGGTTGAGAATCACTGTCCTACAGGCTCTGCTTACCAAAAGGTGGCAACACGGCATCTCAAATTTACATCCCTCCAACTCCTCACCACCGACAGCACAGAAGCTAAAGAACGGCAGCAGAAACATATTGCAAGCGAGACTGCTTCACTTCTGAAGGACCCAGAGGCAAGTACCACGCACGTCTGGTCTCAAAAGCTTGCACAGCTTACCCCACAACGCCCCCCAGGGCTGGAATTACCTGAAGACTTAGACCCGAGAGTGGATGATCCAAACCGCCGGGTGGTCCCCATTCCAGCGTTTCTCCGCGAGCTTGGTGGAGCTTTGGATGATGTAGAACTGGCAGAGGAAGGTCTGTTACCATCCACAGAATCTTCATCATCAAAATTTTTATCTGAAGAGTGAGCACAGAAATCACTGTTTTTTTGTTGTGTTTTTTAAGAACTTTTTTGCCTGAACTTCAAACATCTAGCCTTAGAGGTGAATAGCTTGCCTCCTCTTTTGGAATCTGAGTGCCTGTCCAGGGTCTGTCCAGGCCTCAGGTAAGTCCAGAATGCAGCCCACCATCCAGTTCACTCTCACTAATCTGGGACCCTCTCCGCCCATTTGGAAAATAGACAACACATAAAGAAGAAAGCAATCTCTCGTAAGGCCACCACCTAGAAACATTTAGCATGTTTTTGACCGTTCGGTCAATGCAGTTTTAGATAACAGCTGGCATCCCCTGCCGGCACGGCTCAGGGGTTGAGTGTTGACCTATGAACCAGGAGGTCACGGCTGGATTCCCAGTCAGGGCACATGCCCAAGTTGTGGGCTCGATCCCCAGCGTGGGACGTGCAGGAAGCAGTCAATTGATTCTCTCTCATCACTGATGTTTCTATCTCTCTCTCCCTCTTCCTTCTTCTCTGAAATCAATAAAAATATACTTTTTTTAAAAAGCATTGAACAGACTGTCAAACCTCAGAGGGAAGGGGTGGCAGATAAGAGATCAACCAAAGGAACTGTATGTATGTCTATAAGCATAAGCAATGGACACAGACAGTAGGGGGAAGAGGGTATGTGCTGGGAGGGCGGGGGTGGCTGGAGAGGGGTCAATGGAGGGGAAAGGAGACATATGTAATACTTTCAACAATAAAGAATTTAAATTTAAAAAAAAAAAAGAAAAGAAAAAAAAAAGAATTTAAATTTAAAAAAACATAAAAATAAAAGCATATAATCCCACTACGGAACCTTTCTCAAAGAACAAAATTAATGCATGTATAAACATAATTAAATAGCTCAAATATTACAAGAAAATAAAATGAGAATAGCTTCTCTCCCACTCCACTACTAGTTTCCAGACTTTTGTTTTTAACTTTCTATTTTGGAATAGCGCTCGAGTGACAGAGCAGTTGTGAAGACAGCACAGAGTTCCCATTTACCCCACGCACAGTCTCCCTACTATTAACATCTAATATTAGCAGTGCGCTTTTGATACGTTATTATTAACTAAAATCCATCGTTTATTCAGAGTTCCTTCCTTTTCTCCTACTGTCCTTTATCTGTTCCAGATCCCACTAAGGATACCAAGCGACACGCAGTCATCACACCTCCCTAGGCTCCTCCAGGTTGTGAGTCCTCAGACTTCCCTGACAGCTTCCAGGAGTAACCCTGACGGGTAGGAGCGTTCACAGATATCCTTCAATCTGCAAATATTTACCTGATTTTTCCTTCACGGTTAGATCGAGTTTATGGGTTTGGGGAAGGAAAACTACAAGATAAAATGCCACTCACATCTCATCTCATCACATCACATCACATCACATCACATCACATCACATCTCATCACATCACATCAACAGAACAGGCCATCAACTAGCCTCCTGACATGGGCCTTGGTCCCCTACGGGAGTGTGTGTCCGGCTGGCCGCACTGCCCTCTGGAGAAGCCGCTGTGCTCATGACACACAGCGTGGGAGTCATGCTCTCCTCTCCTAGGCTGGAGAGCTACAAAGCTGACCGGGAGTAACTCCGCGTGGGAGAGTTGTCTGTCTCCCTTGCTTACTGGTATGGACTCACCACTACTGAGTTTATACTTTGGGTAATAAGCCAATACTACTTTGTTTTATTGCTCAACTTGTTCCGGCTCTGACCACTGAGAATCTTTCAGTCGAGGCCTGTGTCCCTCGGACACCCCATGACTGCCTTTTGTTCTGTCTTGCTTGAGCAGGTCCTTACTTTCTGGCATCAAGAGGTACCAGACTCACTGGGTATGTTCCCTGCTCCAGCTCTAAAATCAGTCATTTCCCCATGAAGTCCCGTTGCTGTCGGAAACCTGGATCTGGGCTTATTACACACGATTCTGCTTTTGTTTTTCTTCAGAGAGCTTTCCATATCTAAACAAAAACATCAATTTATATCGCTTTAAACACCCAGCCCAACTTGTCACCTCCCATTAGACCGTGTGAAGGTGCCACAGTGGATGGTGTCCTGTATTCATGGGCCAGGTCTTATGCCAGGCTAGCTACATGCACCCTCTCATTTACCCCTCACAGTGGTGCAGGAATTACTATCCCCAACTTGTGTGGGAGAAAAGCAAAGCTGAGAGACAAGCTATCAGAGCAGGTCACACACCACTCCTGCAGCCGCAGTGTGAGGGATTCTATCTACGCTGCCCTGAAGTCACTTGCCCACTTATATCCACCCTCTAAGCACAAAAGCCACTTACAAGTACTGGTGACATTTTTGGATGATTTACACCAGTCTGCACCAAACTGAGAACTGTAAGGACAAACCTGTAATTAATCTTAGAGTTAAATTTAGTTCACTTTAAGGACTATCCTTTATTCCAAAATATATCTTTCTTATTTTTTATTGGTGTTAATAGTCCTTGTTTTATGAAAGAACAAGAGATAGGTGGGATTTTGTTTTGTTATTGTTGTTGTTATATTGTCGGCCTGCGGACTCCAGGGGCCTGGGGTTGATTTCGGCCAAGGGCATGTACCTTGGTTGGGGGCACATCCCCAGTAGGGGGTGTGCTGGAGGCAGCTGATAGATGCTTCTCTCTCATCAATGTTTCTAACTCTCTATCCCTCTCCCTTCCTCCTGTAAAAATCAGTAAGATATCTTTAAAAAAAAAAAATTCAGCTCCGAAGAAAATGGCCTACAACAAAAACCTCCGTTTCTGAGAAAGCACACAGGGCCCCTGTTCATCTGCCCTGCAGCATTACACCAAACGGATTTTGAAAACAAACTCGCCAGGTTTATAATACACTTTCCTCTCCCAGACTGCCTCCCCGGGAGCCCCTATCAACTGGCAAACAACTGATTAGGAAAACCACACTTCAAAGTGTCTAAAACTTGGTTATAGAGTACTAGTGCCTGTTTAATAATACAGTAGGGCCTTGACTTACAAGTTTAATTCGTTCCATGACGGAGCTCGTAACTCAAATTACTCGTATGTCAAATCAAAAAGTGAACGAGTGCCCTCAGTGGACAGAGCATCGGCCTGCGGACTTTGAGAAAGCACACAGGGCCCCTGTTCATCTGCCCTGCAGCATTACACCAAACGGATTTTGAAAACAAACTCGCCAGGTTTATAATACACTTTCCTCTCCCAGACTGCCTCCCCGGGAGCCCCTATCAACTGGCAAACAACTGATTAGGAAAACCACACTTCAAAGTGTCTAAAACTTGGTTATAGAGTACTAGTGCCTGTTTAATAATACAGTAGGGCCTTGACTTATGAGTTTAATTCGTTCCATGACGGAGCTCGTAACTCAAATTACTCATATGTCAAATCAAAAAGTGAACGAGTGCCCTCAGTGGACAGAGCATCGGCCTGCGGACTTGAGGGTCCCATGTTCGATTCCAGTCAAGGGCATGTACCTTGGTTGCGGGCACATCCCCAGTGGGGAGTGTACAGGAGGCGGCTGATCGATGATGCTCTCTCATCGATGTTTCTACCTCTCTATCCCTCTCCCTTCCTCCTTGTAAAAAATCAATAAAATATATTTTAAAAAAGTGAACGAGTGAGACACGTGATGCTGGGCTGATGTTGTGGCGTTCGCTGTGACATTTGCTGCGCCAACTAGCGGTGGGGTATCTGAAGCTGGTTCGTAACCCGAACTTTAGCTCGCAACTCAAAGCAAAAAAATGTATCTGGAAAAACACGTTAGTCGGGACACTCGTAAGTCAAGGCCCCACTGTATCTCTTTGAATGCTTTCAATTCTTAATTACTCCCCAAGGCAGCGACTGAAAATGGTGCAACGTCAGAAACAAAGACGCGCTTTATCCCAGCAGCAGACAGGAAGCACTGAGCTTGCCCACGGGTTTTGCTGAAAGGACTAAGACCTGAAAGGACTAAGACGACAAGGTCCCTGGCCCGCTCTCTGTCCAGCACCAGCACAAACAGAGAAAACCTGAAGCCTTCTGTGCCCACGTTTAAAAGCTGCCCTGCCTACTCCTCAGGGGCTGCTGTGCGGATCATAAAACAAAGACAAACAAAAGGCACTCAGGAAAGTGCTCTGAAGATACTAAAATACTCTCCACTCAATTGTGGCAGAATTGTTGGTATTGTATTCTGCAGACTGCTAATGGTCTTTGTTAATCATGGCTTCATAGAGGAAAATTCAAATATGCCACAACCACAAAAATCAGCTTTTAAACCTTGTTTCCTACTACATTTGCAGCCACTTAAGGTAAAAGTTACCAATGCTTCTAAGCTTGCATTTCAAGGACACAATTTGAAGGAATTACCAAATGAAAAAGTCTTCGTTTTAAATTCAGATCTACAGGCTCTCTCCATGGCTTTTAATACATTAGTTGACTTCCATAATTATTTTGCCCTGTCGTTTAAAAAATAATAACAAATACAACAACTTAAGATAAATGCTATAAGCAACACACTGTCAAATTGTCAAGTGAAGGGCTCTGAAAGAGGCCACTCCAGACAGGAGTGATTTAACCCTCCAGCCAGGTGTTGATTTCCCACAGCAGCTCAACCTGAATACAGAATAATGTCATGAGGGAGGAAATGAAAAGAAATACCATCATTCTATGCTTTAAATCCCCAGTGTGAAAACACAACTAATAAGCAGAAATGCTTATCTTCCAATATGACCACTTTCTGCAAACTGAACCAAATTTAGTATAAGGAGATAAATACACACCTTCACAATCCCCTACAAAATAAACACAGCAAATTTACTCAGCACAGTACCTATATAGTGGCAGAGTCTGTTATTACATCTTGTTTCCGTTGCAGGGTATGGCAATATCCTTCAGAGACAACAAATTCAAAGCCTGCCAGGAAGGCCACCCAGAGGGAAGCAAGACAGCGGAACAGGTGTCCCCATCACACCAAGCCCACTCTCCTTCAAACGCAAACCTGTGCGCAGGGAGTCCCTGTGAAGACTGAAGACTACTCAACAAGGTTTTCTGAAAACAACACTTCTCTAGTAGTTTTTCGGTTCCACTTTTGCATTTTTAAAATGCAAGTCTTTGAAAGGGAAGGGACAATTGTATAAACTGATTCTCAAGAAGAAAGGCAGCACCCGTCACTGCGGTAATTCCCTGTGTCTCCCTCTTCCCACAGCTAAAGTCCTGGCATTTCTAGCCGCTAGATTCCTCTCAGGACAGCTTATTCCTACTGACAGATGTATTGCAATTGTAACGTAACTCCACATACCGTGAGTACAAGAGCAGAAAGAAATTAGAAGTACATGGAACCCAGAGGCTGAGGAAAACTCAGCAATCTGGTTTTACTGTATCTACTTCCTCTCTGGTCCTCAAAGGTTAACGTGAACGTATCTGTAGGTTTCACAGTTTTCCCTGCCTAAATGCAAATGTGCATGGCAATTATTTTCCTAAGTTTCAGCCACAATATTTAAAAACTTAAACATTTACATATTGTATTTATTTCCCAAACAGCAAAATTTCAGAATGTATTAGAAGAGCCTACCTTTCCCAGTAGTCATGTTTGTCAGGGATCTTGGTACCAATACAAACAGTGCTCTGAAAGCTGTATCTACCCACAGCAACTTGCATCAGCAGCTCCCACCCACGGCCTTCTGCAGTGTGATCTGCACGCGGACAACTGCACCCTATTCCAAAATAAAAGCTGGACTATATATAACAGTGGTTTTTTAAAGGGGGGAGGGGAGAAGGGGTTGGGGGGGAGGTGAACCTTTTCCATCTGGCTTTACTCATGTAAGGCAGCCTTCTTTAAAACTAGTTTTTTTAAAAATTTAACGAACTATCTGACTTTTCCTCTTGAAAACAGAGAAGAACATTACAAACATAAACCTTAAATGAGAACAATGTCAAAAAGCAATCTTACTTCCACACAGAAGAGAAAGCAAACTGTCAGCTGTAGCTTAGGCTGGTCTCAGAAACTGTCACCTCCCGGCCGCTTCAGGTGGTCTTCCGAGCACAGCACACTGGCCAGCTTTCCACCAGCTTATCCCTGAGCCTGACCACGGCAACACTTTCCTAAGACACTGACCAGAATCCCACACCTTGGGACATGCAGAGTCCAACAGACAAGCATGGGAGGGCCTGGGAACCATTAGCAGCATTGTTTTTAAATATATGTTTTTATTTCAGAGAGGAAGGGAGGGAGAGAGACAGAAACATCAATGATGAGAGTCACCGATCAGCTGCCTCCTGCTCACCCCTTACTGGGGATCGAGCCCGCAACCTGGGCATGTGCCCTGGGCCTGAACCCAACCTGGGACCCTTCAGTCCGCAGGTCAATGCTTTATCCACTAACCCAAACTGGCTGGCATCAGCATTGTTTTAAAGACTATGCAAAATAATGAATGCTTAGCTTTTTAATAAAACAACAGGCAATAAATTCACTTTTAAGTGAATGCTCTTGTGGGTGAAAAAGGGGCCACATACTAAACATGACAAGCTCAGGGGAGGCCTGCATGACAGCCTTACAAACTCAGAGACCACGAGTAGCCATATGGGATGGTCTGGAATTCAAACTTCCTAATGAAAAGCAAGTCATGGTGAGTAGTCCTATCCTAGGCTAGCATCTTCCTTGACAAAGGTCAATCTTTACCTTAACTGAGCCTGTCAACTGTCTTTTTGCAGCTAAGATAACATACCTTTGGAATGCCTGAGAAATCCCTTTTCCAGACTCCTCAGAGCACAATCTCCCACCAAAGCATCAGACCACGGAACCCTCATTGTTATCTTGTTCCCCCAATACCATCTCTATGTGCTATACTGTTAACTGTTAACTATCCTATACCCATCAATGCAAAAGAAGTGTCTCTCTTTATTTCACTTTATATCTAATCCCCACTTTCCTTTCTCCCGCCCCCCTAATCTACCACCAATGAAGATCGTGTCTTTCTCTTTGATTCTGATGTATAAAATAAGGTACATTCTCTGGAGCATTTTCTCATTCTGTTGAGATTTTGCTCCCCAGCAATTGTCATCAGTTTGGCTCAAATAAAATTATAAAAATTCTTATGGGTTTGGGTGTTCCTTATTGTTGACACTTAGTCGTAGCTACACTGGGCAACAATTCAGATCTTACCTAACAATCATTGGTCTATTTGTTATCAGACTTGCACAAGTATTTCTCATTTCCAACAACTTAAAAAGATATGTAACATTTTTCAAATTATAAAAATTTTCAGTAAAAAAAATTAGGTAGGATGCATTTGGCAGTAAAATGATAAACTAGATATATTCATGTACAAAGGCCAATTGATTATCTTTTATCTAGTTTATAGTTTTGTTGGCAAATAAATATTTTGTCTTTTTCTTTGGCTTTCTAGTTGTAGGACTTCCATTCAGCCAGATTTCAGGCAATTCTGAATGATGATATGTTCATGGATTTACCAGTATGATATTTTCATTCTTTCCTCATAAACATGTTAGCTTTGCTTATGAAACTCAAAAACATGAACATATTTAACCAAATTCATGTCCATGGGCCTCGCTTCAGTCAAATCCAATTAAAGATCAGGAAGTAGCTGCGGATGAAGGACACTAACCAGTCTTTAATAACTAGCTCTTCCATGCTGAAAACCAAGTTCCCCGTGAACATACACATATCTGCATGATTGAAAGAACAAAAGCTTAAATAGAAAATAATTTGCGTTCAAAACCCAAGGAAAGAAAAACTGTAATTTTTGCTTCAAGGAGTTTGCTAGTGATCTAGAGACGGAAAAAAGAGAAACATCTATAACACAATGTATTTTATACTCCCATATTCCTGCCAGTCAAAGCTGAAAGACCTTAGGGGTAACCTAGCAACAAGAAAAGTATTCTATTACAGACAGGACTAATTGCTACTCAGCTGTTTTTTACTTGTTGATTTAGTCACAATTCTTACACTTTATATAAATATGACCAATTACACGTCTTAGAAAGCAATTTGAATATGTCACGAAATACAACCAAGGATGAAACTCATTTCTTCCCTAAGAGTATTGCTATTACATTAATAGTTTCTTTCAACTTAGCTCAAATCCAGGGCTTTTGTTACCTATTCAAAGAAGCATTATTACTGGAGAACCGAGATGGCAGCGTAGGTAAATGCCAGTACTCGCTGCCTCTTTCAACCACATCAAAAAGGTTGACACTCTATCCACTGAGCCAAACTGGTTAGGGCATTTTTTTAAATTTCAGAGAGGAAGAGAGAGGGCGAGAGAGGGCAAGAAACATCAACGATGAGAGAGAATCACTGATGGGACGCACGGCATGTTTTCAATCAGAAGGGATATCTCCCCTGCCAAGGCCTCCCATAAGGAACAAGGGGTTCCCGGCCCAACACCAGACCCCTAGTCCAGGGTTCCAGATCTGGGAAGAGAAGTCCACGTATCTTCAAGCTGTAAAATCCAGCCAGATTATAGTTAAGTGACAATGGAGGCTGTTGGAGTCCCAGGTATTCCTCTTAAAAGCCACTCTACCAATCCCAGGAGCCATAACAGCTCTACCCAATACATAGAAACAAAAACAAGGAAGCAGTCAAAATGCAGAGACAAAGAAACACATCACAAATAAAAGAAATCTCCACTTATATTTTTGATATTTATTTGATATATTTAAATGCCATTTAACAAATAAAAATCAACCAAAAAATGAGTTCGCGTGTCACCTCTGACACGCGTGTCATAGGTTCGCCATCACTGGTATAAGGTTGCTCAAGAATCTTAATGATAATTTCAAAGACATGAAAAAGGACTGGTAAAAATGAAGGATACACTATCTGAAATGAAGAATAATTTACAGAGAATCAACAGTAGAGTAGATGAAGTCAAGAATCAAATAAATGATTTGGAATATAAGGAAGCAAAAACACCCAATCAGAAGAGCAACAAGAAAAAAGAATCTGAAAAAATGAGGACAGGGTAGGGAGCTTCTGAGACAACTTCAAGCCTACCAACATTCACATCATGGGGTTTTCGGAAGGAGAACAGAGAGAGCAAGAAATTGAAAATACACTGAAAAAATAATGACAGAAACCTTCCCTATTGGTGAAGGAAATAAATAGACATACAAGTTCAGAAAGCACACAGTCCCAAAGAAGAGGAACCCAAGAGGCCCGCATCAAGATACATCATAATTAAAATGCAAAAGGTTAAAGACAGAAAGAATCTTAAAGCAGCAAGAGAGAAGCCGTTACCTACAAGAGGAGCTCCCATAAGATTTCCAGCTGATTTCTCAACAGAAACCTTGCAGGCCGGAAGGGAGTGGCAATAAATATTCAAAGTGATGAAAAGCAAGGACCTATAACCAAGATTACTCTACCCAGCAAAGCTATCATTTAGAATCAAAGGACAGCTAAACAGCTTCCCAGACTAAAGGAATTTATCACCATTAAACCAATATCATATGAATGTTAAAGGGTCTTCTTTAAGAATATAAAAAATATGAACAGTAGAATGGTAATAAATACATATCTATCAACAATTAAACCTAAAAAATAAAATAAACAACAAGCAGGACAGAAACAGAACCACAGATACAAGAACATTTTGACTGTTGCCAGATGGGAGGGGGCTGTAGGATGGGTGAAAAGGTGAAGGGATGAAGAAGTACAAACTGGTTGTTACAGAACGGTCACAGGGATGTGAAGAACAGCATAGGGGACACTGTCACTAACAGTCTAATAACTGCATAGTGTCACGTGGGTGCAGGATGTATCAAGATGGTCACGTATTCAGTATGTAACATCTAATTGCTGGGGTGTACGCCTGAGACTAATATAATAGTGTATGTCACCTGTGATTGAAAATAAAAAATTACTTTAGAAATAAATAAAGGGAATTAGAAAATAAAAGGAATTAATAAAAGAATTTTTAGAACAGTTTAAGCATTTTATAAGAAACATGCTATCTAAAGACAAATTCTTTACTGATAATGGTAGGTACATAGCCGAGTGTAAGTCAAAAGGCCTGGATTGGGTTCTGGCTTTGCCCTTCCTTACATGGAAGAAATCACTCAAACTTCTTGACAATCTCAAGATATTCAAAATTTGAAAGTTCTGCTATGATCTCAGATCCCCAGCAATTCTGAAATAGCCATGATGCAATGAGGAATCCAGAGTATAAAAAAGTCCTTGTTCACACCTGTCCCTTTAATGACTTTATTTACACAGTAATTCACTCTTTTCTTTTCTTTCCCTCTGTAATCACAAGAATTACCCCTTGTCCTCAAATATCATTACAAGCTACAATAAACTGAATACAAATAATGGACAATGGGTCAGAACTCAAGTCTCAGTTATTATTTTATTTATTCAACATATCACATGCCAGGGACTTTGTGAGGCATTAAGGATAAAGGAATAAGACAAAGTTCTTGCCCTCATGAATAAAAATGTTTTGTAGTGATATGCACTAAGAAAGTAAGTCAAGCAGGATGAAGGCAGAGAGAGTTCCCTTAGAAAACTGGGTGTGCTATTCCAGGTGGCCTTTGTAATGAAGTGATACTACAGCCACGATCTGGATGGAAGGAGGACGACAGCCATGATGACACAGAGGGCACAAATGTT